CCATGATCCACCTTGAGTTGGTTTTTGTATATGGAGTGAGGAGTGGATCTTGCTTAAGTCTTTTGCAGATAGTTTTCCGATTTTGCCAACACCATTTGTTAAAAAGGCTATCGTTTTCTCACTTAACTAATTTCATCTCCTTGTCAAAAATCAATTGACCATACGCAGATGGGCTGATTTCTGGGTTCTCAAATTTATTCCATTGATCTATGTGTTTGTCACTGTACCAGTACCATGCTGTCTTAACCACCACAGCAGTGTAGTAGGATTTTAAATCAGGGAGCGAGATGCCTCCTATTTTTTTTTTTTTCTATTTTTAAGGAGTGCTTTGCTTATTTGGGGCTTCTTTCCATTCTAAATGAAACTGGAGATTGCCTTTTCCATCTCACTGAGAATGGCATTGATTTTTGTATTGGGATTGCATTGAACTTGTAAATTGCCTTTGGTAGTATTGCCATTTTCATAATATTGAGTCTTCCTATCCATGAGGAGGGGATATTCTTCCATTTCTCCAGGTCTCTTTTTGTTTCTTGTAGTAATGCTAGTAGACCATCTTCTGAGGTACATCTGGGTATAATCAAATCTCTCATCATTTTTTTTCACTAAGTATTACTTCTTAAATTTTTTTAAATTTTGCATTAGTTTGCTTACAAAGTTTATATGCATAATGACCTCCCACCTTTTAGTTAGCAGTCAAGCATGCTAAGACTTTACGCTATTCAAAGATTCTCAGATGGGCCTAGATAACAATTATTTTAATTTAGTGGTGATTATCTGGAAGTTTATTATGTTCTTTTTGTTTGGGGGTTCTTAGAATGTTTCATAATGTTGTTCTTGTTGTTGTTGTTATGTGCTGCTGAGTTGCCTGCTCATAGCGACCCTATGTACAGCAGCTCTGAACCCTGCCCTGTCCTGAGCCAGTCTCACTGATTCTGACACACCTATCCCCATTACTCCAGTTACTACATCAATCATCTCCTCTCAGGTCTTCCTCTCCTGAGCTGTCCCTCCACTCTTCCAAGCATGATGTACTTCTTTAAGGACCTATCCCTCCTGGCCACATACCCAAAAGTATATGAGATGGAGCTTCAAAATCCTAGCCTTCAAGGAGAAACTTGCTTTCACCCTCTCCAAGACAGACCTATTCTTGGTGGTCCATGGTATATTCAAGACTCTCTTCCAGAACCACAAATCAAAGGCATCAATTCTTCTGTCATCTTTAGTTATTGTCCAGCTCTCTGATGCATAGCAAGTAATTACGAAGACCATGGCCTGGATCAGGCCCACCTTGATCTCTATACTGATATCATTGCTTCTCAGTACTCTGGAGAGGTCTCTGACAACAGATTTTTCCAGTGTAATTTCTTTTGGTTTCCTGACTGCTGGTGTCAAGCGTGTTGATTGTGGAGCTGAGCAAGCTGTAACCATTAACAACCTCAATCTCTTCTCCATCTATCATGATGCTTGCAATTGGCCTAATGGTGAGAATCTTTTGTCTTCTTGATCTTGGGTTTCAATACCTATTGAAATCTTCAACCTTCTGCAGCAAGCGCTTCAGGTCTTCGCCAGTTTCAGCAAGCAAGGTTGTGTTGTATCATCTGCATAACAAAGGTTGTTAATGAGTCTTCCTCCAATCCAGATGCCACATTCCTCCTCATAAAGCCCACCCTCACAAATGATCTGTTTTGCATGTAGATTAAAAAGGTATGGAGATAGGACAAATCCCTAACACACTCCTTTCCTGATTATAAACTATGCAATGTTTCCTTACTCTAGTCCGAGGACTGTTTTCTGGTCCAAGTAGTACACAATCTGGGATTCCCATTCTCCTCAAGATTAGCTACAATTTTTGTGATCCACATAGTCAAATTCTTTTGCATAGTCAATGAAACACAGACATTCCTCTGGTACTCTTTGCTTTCTGCAGAGATTCATCTGACATTGGCAAAATTCTAGTATAGTACTTTATCAACATTTCATACTCTCATCAAATTTCACCTTCTTTTTCTGCCCACACAATCTTGTTTGGGGCTAAGAAGCCTCTAGTGGAAAGTGGGCGATATGAACAATTTCTATCCATTTTTACACATTTCGCAATTCCTCCTCACTTCTATCTCTGAGATGCTTCTGGCTGCCTCAGGGCTGCATTATAAGCCCATAAGTAAGGGACCGAAAAGGCTGCCTTCTAACACTGGTGCTCTCCTGGGTGGGACAGGTGCCAAAAACTGAGTTTGTGTTATTTATTTTTATGGATTCACATGCACTTTTTAAAATCCTTTTTCTTGGGCCTTTCTACTGTTCTAATTCCTAGGTGAGGTGGTATTTTCTCTGGCTATTTATAACTACACCTTGTCATCCTGGTCCCTCTCCACTTCCATATTCTCTACTCCCAGTCTTATATCTCTATAGTTGTTATCCAGTGGGCTCTGACTCATACTGAGCCCCTGTGGAATAAAATTAAGTACTGTCTGATCTTGTGCCATCCTCACAATCTCTACCACGCATGTGTACATCTATTTGTTGTTGTAGTCATTGTGTCAATCCATCTGATGGAGGTTTTTTCACTTTTTCATTGATCCTGTATTTTACCAAGCAAAACAACATGCCTAAAACATTCAAGATGAGGTCTCACCATTCCTGGAACAATCTGACTGCACTCCATTCAAGATCAGTCTCTCTATTACTCTTTATACCTGAAGTGTCATTGATGATTATTATGCAAGACCTGTTAGGAATTAACAAGAATCATCTTTTGGGGGTGAGCACAAACATTATAAGAGCACAATCTTGTTGGTATATTACAGAATATATTATAAAGTATATTACAGAAAAGGTTTTATAATTTAAGTCTATAAAGTACTTGATTTAAATTATTTATTCTCAAAATTGATCATATTTTATCACTATGAATTAATATTTACTTGCTTACCTGATTTTATATTTATTGTAAATTGTCTTTTAAACTTTTTAATTTTATATTTGTTTATACATAAAAATCAGATATATATTCACTTATATATATTGTGTTTCATGCATTCCTCCATTCATACTATGCTTCACATTATCATTCTCATATGTTGTGTTTTATAAAATTAATTATCTCCTAGTCAAGAAGACAAAGATTCTCACCACTGGACCAATTGGCAGCATCAGGATGGATGGTGAAGAGATTGAGATTGTACACAGCTTTAGTTTGCTTGGCTCCATAGTCAACAGTCTTGGCACCAGCAGCCAGGAAATTAAAAGGCACATTGCCATGGGAAAGTCTGCTGTTAGGGACCTCTCCAAAGTGCTGAAGAGCAATGGTATCTCTTTGGAG